AAGAGGAACTAAAGAACCTCTTGATGAAAGTGAGAGAGGAGAGTGAAAAAGTTGGCTTAAAACTCAACATTCAGAAAACTAAAGTCCTGGCATCCGGTCCCATCACTTCATGGCAAATAGATGGGGAAACAATGGAAACCGTGACAGACTTTATTTTCTTGGGCTCCAAAATGACTGCAGATGGTGACTTCAGCCATGAAATTAAAAGATGCTTGCTCCTTGGAAGAAAATCTATGACAAAACTAGACAGTTTATTAAAAAGCAGAGACATTACTTTTCTGACAAATGTCCGTATAGTGAAAGTTAGGGTTTTTCCAGTAATCATGTATGGTTGTGAGAGTTGGACCATAACAAAATATGTGCATGCAAAGTTGCTTCAGTTTTGTCCAATTCTTTGTGACCCTATGGACTGTAACCAACCAGGCTTCTCTGTCCATGGGATTTTCCAGGTAAGAATACTGGAGCGGGTTGCCATTTCTTCCTCCAAGGGAATTGATGCTTTTGAACTGTGGTGTTGGAAAAGACTTTTCAAAGTCCCTTGGGCTGCAAGGAAATCAACCCTGAATATTCAGTGAAAGGTCTGATGCTGATGCTGAAGCTCCAATAATTTGCCCATCTGATGCAAAGAGCCGACTAATTGGAAAAGACCCTGATGCTGGGAAAGATTGAAGACAGGTGGACAAGGGGACGACAGAGGATAAGATGATTAGATAGTATCACTGGCTCGATGGACATGAGATTGAGCAAACTCTGGAAGATGGTGAAGGACAGGGAAGCCTGGCATCCTGCAGTCCATGGGATCACAGAGAGTTGGACATAACTGAGCGACTGAACTGAACTAAACTGAACTGAGATAATCCAGAGTGACTTCCTTATTTTAAAATGAACTGATTAGCCTTAGGGCTTCCCAGGTGGTGCTAGTGATAAAGAACCTGCTTGCCAATGCAGGAGACATAAAAGATGCGGGTTCAGTCCCTGGGTTGGGAAGATCCCCTGTAAAAGGAAATGGCAACCCACTCCAATATTCTTACCTGGAGAATCCCATGGACAGAAGAGCCTCGCAGGCTACAATCCATGGGATCGCAAAGAGTCAGACATGACTGAAGTGACTGAGCAGGCACACAGGATTAACCTTTATTCCATCTGCAATCTTAAATCCCCTCTTGCCATATAAAGTAGCATATTCTCAGATTATAGGGATTAGGATATGGCTGTCTTTGTGAATTCTGCCCATCACACCATCCTTGGCCAGCCAGTACCTAACTAACCTCAGAAGGTTATTGGAGATGCATAAGTGAGCCTGGCTGAGATCAGAACTGCCCAGCTGAGCCCAGTCCAAAGAGCTGACCTACAGAATAATGAAGTCCTTAAAGGTTTGTTGAACACCTTATCAAAAGTTGGGTGGTTTGTTGTGAAACAAAAGAAAACTGAGAGTCTTTGAAAAGGTCCAACAAATGCTAACTGACTTATGTTTCTGTAAATTATTGCAAAATCTAATTTCTGAAAAAGTCCTAATAATTTGAGGCACTCCATTTTTACTTAATGATTTCATTAATATTTTTCTTTCTTTTTTTTTTTACAAGGTAATGGTAATATGGTTAGATCATACTCTGTCTGCTGAAGATGAATTTTTAGCAGTAGAAGTCATATTTACCCACCCTTCCCTACCAACATTCTCAACTTTGCTCTTAGAAAATAACTTTTAACAAGAGGGAGGCTTAATATCCAAGTTCTTGCCATTTGAGATAATAGTAACTGTAGCCTGGGCCAAGTTTCCATTATCGAATAAAAAATATTTTTTAACAACCTCTCCAGCTGTTTAATTATACTTTTAGTTCTCTTTTAAGTGGATTTAATATGTAGGAAGTTACTTTGGGTTTGCACTCTGGTGCAGATTACATGGTCAACTTTTGGAGGAATCAGATGGTCAAGGGAAGGCTTTGATACGCCTCATGATGCAAATTTTCTGTTTCAACTGTGAAACAGAAAGGGAAAAAAAGTCAAAATGGCTTTTTGTTAGAAATCACATTTTATTCTGCTGCATAAATTCTCAGCAAAACTGGGACTTTTAAAACAAGTTTCAAATGGAAAATATGAGCTGAGCAAAATAATGTCTACTTGAGGCACATGAAGCTTTCACCTTGTAATATTTCTGCTTTATAATGTTTAATCCAGAATTTCAAGATTTCCATGTCAAGGGTTAGTAGAAAATTATGAAAATGCTGGGTCAGGATCATCAGTTTGGTGGCAGTCTCCTAAAATAGAACCCATCTGCCTATGACAGCCTGATGCTGTAAAAATTCCCCTAGATGTGTGTGTGTATGTGTGTGTATCAGTGGTAAGAGGTTTTTCATTACCAGTAAAAATTATTATTTATGTATTTATTTTTAAATTTTATTTTTAAAATTATTTATTTAATTTTGGCTGCTTTGGGTCTTCACTGCTGAGTAAACTTTCTCTAGTTGTGGTGAGCAGGGGCTATTCTCTCCTTGCAGTACACGGGCTTCACATTGTAGTGACTTACGGCAGAGCATGGGCTCTAGGGTATAACGGGCTTCAGTGGTTGTGGTGCACCAGCTTAGTTGCCCCTAGGTATGTGGAATCTTCCTGGACCAGAGGTCAAACCCTTGTCCTCTGCATTGGAAGGCTGATTCTTAACCACTGGACCACCAGGAAGTCCCCCAGCAAAATTTATTACTAAAGGTCCTGAGGCTGGAAAGTCATAAACAAAGATAATCACTTACCAGCCTAATAAAAATTCACACATGCAAAACTCTAGGAAACTCTAAGACACCTGCTAATGGTTCCCAGTATAACAGATCAGGGAAATATATTTAAGGATAAATAAATAAGTTGCATCATTGCAAATTTCTTGGTTTTTGTTTATTTTGCTTTTCTGCTTAGAGCATTTTAAACTTTGTCACTATGAAATCTTCACCTGAGAAGGATATGAAAGAATTTAATTTGTTTTCTATTTTTTTCACATAAAAAATAGAATGGATTTGGAGTGACCTATGAAATTCTGAGATTCTTTATATATTGGGCTAAATTCAGAGGTATCTATGTTTCTTCCTTTCACTATTATTATACTTCTGTTGGAAATCACATAACCAGCTATTTGCCTCAGGAAGATGTCACAATGTCTTTTGAGTTACAAATTGGATATGGACTTCATATTTTCTGATGTGGCTAATCATATTCTCAGTGGAAAATTGCATAGCTTTTCCTGCAACAGTAGAAATGGCTTTGCTGCCCACCAGCAATGAAGACATGAAGCATTTCACTTGGACAATTGTTTGGGACCCCAGGGAGCTCTAAACAAAACTGTGCTGGTGATGATGCTCCCCAGCTCTGCCTGTTGATATTAACTGGGACTAAACAGAGCAACTAACATATCAGCACACGTGTGTGATGTGTGTGTATGTGTACAGATGTGGACTCACAGGGCTATTGGGAAATGAGCTGAGGAGAGACATGTTCCCCTACTTATAGAAAAAGGTAATGTGCTTAGTACGGCTTTGTAAAGTCTTTACCTCACACATTAAGACAATATTAATTCAATTCAATAAGCCTGATAAGTGCAAATATTTGGTATTAAAGATAAATAGAGATGGGAGGAGGAAACATTTATTAAGCCCTTACTATATACACACCTTCATTACCCTCCTTGCATTTAGAGGTAGTAGTAATAGGTATAATGGGCCTCCTGTGTGACTCAGTGGTAGATTCTGCCTGCCAATGCAGGAGATGCAGGTTCAATCCCTGAGTTGGGAAGATCCCCTGGAGGAGGAACTAGCAACCCACTCCAGTATTCTTGCCAGGATAATCCTATGGACAGAGGAGCCTGGTGGGCTACAGTCTCTAGGGTCTCAAAGAGGTGGGCACAACTGAGCAACTGGACATGCACACACATGCACACACAACAATAGGTATTACATTTTCAGCTTATGGATTAGGAAACAGTTTAGGGAGATCAAACCTCTTTATATGTCAAAGCCAGGATTAAAGCCCAAGTGTGATTCCAAATGTCCTGTGACCACGGCACTAAGATGTCCCAGTAGGATGTTCACCCAGTAGGAGTTCATGGTCTAGTCCGTTGTTATGTTCATGGACATTTACTGACACTCTGTTGATTATGACGAAGGTGAATTTTACACATTTGTCAGAAAGGATTAAATAAACGAGGTTTTAAAAGTATCTTTGTGGAATTTATAGTCATAGACACATTTACATAAAAGAGACTCCTAATTGTGTTTTGAAAGTTCTACACTTCTTCCTTGTGATGTTTAATAAGGACTGAAATAGAGAAAAGTAGCACTTGAGGTGCCTGTTTAATGATTCTGTGTACAGAATCTTATTAGTGTCTATGTATTTGATATCACTTAGTTTTTTGATATATTTCTTACAAGAAAGAATTGGAACAGCCTTTAAGGGGAAGACCATGGATGCCATATTTAAAGTGTCTATGCCTTATTTTGAAAGTGCAAAATACTTGACCCACATATATCTTATATGTCATTCTTTTAACAACTGTATGTTTGGCATTAATTTTCAGCTATAAAAAAAGAGGCTCTCAAAGCTGTAGAGGTTAAGTCACTTAAGCACTGGCACCAGGCTTTAAACCAGTCTTACTGTAAAACCAGACTATTTCTAGCTAGGACACATTGCCTTCTCAAATACAGACTTGAGTAACAGGTATCACGGAGGCTATTCAGGATGATCGCTCCATTAATTTGAACTAGAAAAGTCAGGAAATGAATGACAGAATGAGAATAACGATATTTTTTTAAATCACTGAGTCAGAATAGCAGCAGGGAGAATTCAGAGGTCAAAAAGAGTTTCAAGTGGTAATCTGTTAGCTCTATCAAGAGTAGCTATGAGAATGACATCACCAGGGAAAAAAAGAGTAAATATTTTGGCAGACAGTTAATCTACTTCAATTAGCAGATCTGAAACAAAGCATCATTGATAATCCTCCATTTCCTTTTTCCTGGCTGCAGTGCTGGAAAGAGCTACATGAACATACCACTGAGATTGTTTTGCAAGACTTGGTGACCTACAGCTGGTCCACAGCTAATTGCTGGAGCCTCACTGGAGATGTAAATACTATAGTTTCGGGACACGTACCTGAAGAGCACAAACCTCTATGTAATGGATCAGAGAGCAGCAGTTCATTTCTTGATGCCTTTTTCACATATGCACTATCTGTATCCTGAATAATAATGACATGCATGGAAAATGTGTTTAACGGTGGAGGAACAGAAATGCATAGTGGTTTTTGAGCTCTTAGTTTTGTGTCATGAAAATGAATTTCAATCCTGTCTGTCCCGTTTGTTAGCTGCATCTGTTTTTTCTATCAGTACAATGCATGTAACACTCTTGGGACAGTTATTGTGTAAGTCAAATAAATGGATGTGTGTAAAAACACTTGGCGTGGTGCCTAGAACAGAGTAAGACATCAAACAATAGCTGCTGTTATTCTGTAGGATATAGTGTTCTGCTACCTGACTCTTCTGAAAAGGAAACTAATACCCAAATTTGTCTCATGTGAGTTTTAGTCTCATGGGATTAGCTATGAAGGCTACTAGCAGAACTCAATGGGAGAAAACCCCGTGTCTGACTTGTGGCTACAGAAGGCTAGTACTTACATTGGGGTTGTGTCTTTGGTCCCTTTTAGTTTGGCCAACCTGGTCCTTTACCAGCATGAAGCTGCTTCCTCCCAAGGTTTCCACTTGCAGAACCAAGAAGACCCTGGGGGCCAACAACTAGTTATTTATTTTTAAATGTTTTAAAATAAAAATAATAGCGTGAGGCTTTTGCTTCAGCTCTCTTTCTGAAATGACTCTTGACAGGAACCGGAAATAGTTCCTGTTAATGTAGTCTCTCTCTGTCACGACCAAACGGGATGTAGGAGATTGAGTGGAATTTTCTGAGTTCTTTGTATACCTAGGAATGAAATGTCTGTCATTTAGTTAAAATAAGTTATTGGTTTTTAAATCAAATTAAAATATTGAGCCAAACAAGCAGGTACTGTACTTGAATTATCTCTTATTTGTAAGAACCGTTTTTCACTATTTCATGAGTAGTTGGGGAAAACAAGTGGTTATAAATAACAAAAGCATGTTTTGGGCTTCATGAAACCCATAGAGGCAATTATAGGACAGTCTGGAAAAAAGTTGAAATGACCATTATTTCTCAGGAAAAAAAAAAATCTTTCTTGCCTTATCAAATAAGCAAGCTGACAATATTCTTTGAAAACAATTTTAGAATATTTACTTCCTTCTTTCACTGGAGGCCTGTGCTGAACTCAGATCATTTCTTCTAGAGTCCTGTACTTTCTCTCCTTCCTGTGAATAAGAGTGGTAATTGTCTTCAGTATCACTTCAGGGCTTAGACTTGAAAAACGTCTTAAGAGCAAGACAGGTGATTGGTTTTGCTCAAGGGATCTAGAGAAAGCTGGACACACATTCAATAGAATAGTAGACTAATCACAGATAGCTGTAGCAGATCAAGTGTTGACTTCTTCCGGTGATTAAGAGATGACACAATTTGGGGTTACTGTGTTGTTGCTTCAGGACTTGCCATATTTAAATATCCATGGCCTGGGAGTAAATGGGCAATGATCACTCTAGTCTCTTGTTTTGATTACCTCCAAAGCTCTATTTGTTTCAGAAATATCAGAAATAATCCAGAAACTCCCAGATTCTTAGCCTGAGAATCTGAATTTCCTTGCTCTGCTTCTTGTCCAGTTCCTATGATTCTATATCTCTCTTCTAACCTTGGACTTCGCATGCTAAACTCATAACAAATAACTGTCTCTGTACTCTCTCAGAAATGTGCCTCTCTGCCTTTGAATTCCATATGCCTTTTGTCTTGAATGGCCTCACTCCCTTTGTTTCCTAAAATAAGTGATAAATTATCATTTAAAACATGCTGCTGGTGGTTGTTGCTTTAGTCGCTAAGTCATGTCTGACTCTTGTGACCCCATGGACAGAGGAGCCTGGCAGGCTACAGTCCATGGGATTCTCCAGGCAGGAATACTGGAGTGGGTTGCCATTTCCTTCTCTGAGTTCCAGGAATTGAACTCAGGTCTCCTGCATCGTAGGCAGATTCTTTACCAACTGAGCTACAAGAGAAGCCTCTTAAAACATGCTACTCAGCCCCAAATCTGAGTTATGTGTACTTTCTATGTTATTTCAAAGTTTCCTTTATTTATCTCAATCTTTATATTTATTACATTATAATCTACTGCTTCATTATTTGCATTTACCTCCAAACCAATGACTTTGATTTAATTGGTGTTAGGTGGGTTCCAAATTGGCAAAGGAGTACGTCAAGGCTGTATATTGTCACCCTGCTTATTTAACTTATATGCAGAGTACATCACGAGAAACGCTGGGCTGGAAGAAGCACAAGCTGGAATCAAGACTGCAGGGAGAAATATCAATAACCTCAGATATACAGATGATACCACCCTTATGGCAGAAAGCGAAGAAAACTAAAGAGCTTCTTGATGAAAGTGAAAGAGGAGAGTGAAAAAGTTGGCTTAAAACTCAGCATTCAGAAAATTAAGATCGTGGCACCTCGTCCCATCACTTCATGGCAAATAGATGGGCAAACAATGGAAACAGTGACAGACTTCATTTTGGGGGGCTCCAAAATGACTGCAGATGGTGACTGCAGCCATAAAAGGAAAAGACGCTTGCTCCTTGGAAGAAGAGTTATGACCAACCTAGACAGCATATTAAAAAGCAGAGACATTACTTTGCCAACAAAGATCCATCTAGTAAAAGCTATGGTTTTTCCAGTAGTCATGTATGAATGTGAGAGTTGGATTATAAAGAAAGCTGAGTGCCAAAGAATTGATTCTTTTGAACTGTGGTGTTGGAGAAGACTCTTGAGAGTCCCTTGGACTGCAAGGAGATCCAACCAGTCCATCCTAAAGGAAACCAGTCGTGAATATTCATTGGAAGGACTGATGCTGAAGCTGAAGCTCCATAACTGTGGCCACCTGATGCGAAGAGCTGACTCATTTGGAAAGACCCTGATGCTGGGAACGATTGAAGGCAGGAGGAGAAGGGGATGACAGAGGATGAGATGGCTAGATGGCATCATTGACTCAGTGGACATGAGTTTGAGTAAACTCCGGGAGTTGGTGATGGACAGGGAGGCCTGGTGTGCTGCAGTCCATGGGCTCGCAAAGAGTCGGACACAACTGAGTGACTGAACTGACTGAACTGAAGTGAGGTGGGAGCTTCTTTTCAGTGGTCTGTTTTAAAAGCTGCCTGGTGATTTGGTTCACAGTGAGAATTAAGACACAATGGATCAGAGTGAAAGCTCCATTAAGATAGGGCAGTTGACTAGTTTGTCATCATACTCCATCCTAGTTCAGTGCTGGAAACATGATAAATACTCAAGAAATATCTGTGGATTAAATGTCACTGTATCCCCAGTGCTTGGTCCAGGATAAAACATTAATGAATACGTTAAATTCTGCACAAACTAGTAAACCACGGTCTTTGCATTTTAAAAAGTGATAGATAGGGATGAGGGAAATTAGAAAAGTACACCAAGAATTCTGATATGATCACTCATACAATCAGTGGTAAAAATATTTACAGTGGTTGTAGTGCTTTCTTATGGAGAAACTCTTTTGTAGTGGGGATCTTTCTTCTTTCTGAATGCACAAGTTTTCCAAGTGGTTTGGCAGATGTCCAGTTAAAGGAAGCTTTGAGCAAAGTCTGTTCAAATTCTTCAGAAAACTGCTAAATCTTCTGAGGTCATTCCAGACCATTTGCCTTTCTCTGTTATGCACTAAGGCAGGAAATGTTTTCCTCTGCTTTGAAATGAGCAATTCTAGGGGCAAGTAAAGAATGCACGCCCTGAAACATGCTATCAGCCCCCTCCAGCTGTTTACCATGGTCTTTTTCATTCTTAACAAGGGCATCAAGTTCTTTTGGATACTAGTTATGGTTTTATATATAAGACAGAATAAACATTTCCTGGAGGGCTTCAGAAGGTTACTACTCTTAGATCTTATCTTGCATTTTCTTTCAATCAAAAGAGGAAAAAATAAGATTTAATTTGAAAGATGACTACCATTTATAAGGTTATGTGGTAGTCAGTCAGCTGGTACATTTCTTTCCCTTTTCTTTTGTATAAGCCCGAAAACAGTACAACCCCTCAGCCTGACTTTCTCCATCTTGAATTACTTAATTTTTTATACTTGTAAGTGGTCATGGCCCCTACCCAAGGTCATCTGAGAACAATAGTACCTGAGTCACTGACATTCTTAAGGTCTTATTTGGAAGAGGCTGTTTGGAACTGCTGTAGTCTGACCTGAGTCATCCCACACTGGGCCAGGGAGGTTGAAGAATTGGACTTTTCCCAAAAGAACACTTGTTATTGTAGTGAATCTCCAAAAAGAGACATGGAGAGCTAGGAGAACGTGCAATTTACTGTTGTTCAGGGACAGACCATGACCTTTTAGTCAGGATAGGCTTAGACTGGATATTTTGTACAAAGTAAATTAGCTTCTGGTGGAATTCCCCAGAGAGACCACCTTGGAGGAAGATATGAAGATTTAGTGAGAAGACCATGAGATCTGGAGTCAGATAGACTTAGGTTTAAATCCTGTCTCAACCTGTCTTGGTATACTGTCTCTTAACACGTACTATGTGAATTAGGTAAGATGCTTAACCTCTTTGAGGCTTAAGTTTCTCCTCTATAAAATATCATAACCTACTAAGTGTTAATTGTTCAGTCCTGTTGAACTCTTTTTGAGACCACATGTACTGTAGCCCATTAGGCTCCTCTGTCCATGATAACCTCCTAAAGAAATACAACATTACTGAATTTGTCAGATGCACACTTTATTTTAAAATATAGTTAAAGCTATGTTATATGCTGTGTAAACAGAAACAGAGTTCATGTCCTCCTACTATTCATATTAATATAAAGAAACATATAGGACAGCAGACACTTGAAGAATGTAGAGCAGAGAAGCATAATGGAAAAAGCATTGAATTTGAAATTCGAAGATCTGGTTCCTAGTCTCATGAGGCTCACTTAAAAGTAGAAATAGTATCTGCTTGGATATTTTTGTTTAGAAAATCGAATGCTATAGTGTTTATAGATCTACCTTGATAGATCCACCTTGAAAAGCACCATAACTACATTAATTAATAAGCGCAGGTTTCACTTCTTCTCCTGCTAA